TTATTAGGTAAGTTTGAGAAACCGGCTCGAGATACACTTTTTGTTATATTCCATGGAATGCTCTTAACATCCCGATAGCAATGAATATCTGAAGTGCTTTGACACAAAATCCATAAACAAATGTCATCTGTGGAAGCCGACCAATCATCTGAGCCGGCCCAGCTAAAATAACTGGATGGCCTACCTGCCTGTCAGCCTTCCATCTGTGCACAAACTTATCTCGTGCCCTCATTGGTCACGTGTGCGTTCGTGTGTGTTGGAGGAGGGGCTCTGTAAGGAAGTGGCAGATTTTCTCCGGTTGTGTATTTTCAAATTCTAACGCACTCGAGCTGGTTTCTCAAACTTACATACCCTACCTTCAATGTCAACAATTTACTATTCCCAAGCCTAGATTTCCAGTTTTGGACTTGTATTGATTCATTAAGTTACCAATTTGAAGGCATCAGATCACATTGCAATGGACATCTTTAACTAAAAATCCAGATTTCTCTATAATAATATCACTAGAATATAGAAATATTACTAAAATTCCATTTAAGAACTGTGTCCTGTGTTGTGTTACATTTACGTATTCAATTTTAAATCTCCAGGTCACATTTGAGTGAACATTTATTGAAGAAAAATCAAGTATTCTTATAGATATATTATTAGAAAAAAGGAAATATCACTACATTTCTCAAAATCAGCGAAAACTAAAATAGAAATCTATACATTCCTTTAAACTTTTTTCTTTATTCATAGTTTTTTTTAATACAATCAAATATGTAAGCCTCTAGTGTACAATTTCTATCACCAAAAACATCACATATTTTAACTTTTGTCTGAAACAAGGTCACATAGAGCAGTTCCTGTTCACTCAAAACCTCAAATTTCAAAAGAAGATATTTTTCTCTGTGAGATATTGTCCATATGTTGCTTAATGAACTTGAACTCATATCCCCTTCACTGTCTGATGTTCCTGCTCAGGCGGAGCTGAAGGAGTCCTCCAAGGAGTCCACGGTGATCTCCAACCTGCACCACTTCACCAGCTATAAGATCGAGATCATGGCCTGCAATCACCCCACCGAGATAAAGCGCTGCAGCATGGCCACCTACGTCAGCGCCCGCACCATGCCCGAGGGTGAGGAGGACACACACATCTCACACACATCTCACACACACCTCACACACACACACACTCGGTGGAAAGTTCACTGGGTACTGTAGATACATGAAAACAAAAGCAGAAGATCTCTGTTGTCATTGCATTCGGATACAGACTACATTTCGCAGGCTAGTCTCGATGCAGTGAATAAATACAAAACATCTTTCCTATCTACTTATTTATTTGTATTTTTTAAAACCTTATTTTCTGGGTTTTTAATATGTTTGAGAACGAGGAATAGATAAAAATGCAATTATTTCACACATGAATCATATGCCAAGAACTACTGTTTTTAAGTAGATAAGCAATTTCTGTGGAATCGTTGGAGTACGTAAGGAAACGGCATAAGAATAATGGCAGCAAATGTAACATTTTGGTCCAAGTAAACATAGTCATTGAGATTTCCTGACACATGTAGCTGTAAGAAAGGATATAGTGGGTCAAACATAAACACAAATATGCATTCAAAGCACACGAGCACCCAAAAAAACCACTTTCTCGAGACAGTCAGGAACAAAAGATAATAACTTTAAGTGCATGCAGTTCTTTCCACTGCACGTGTTTTTAATGCTTGTCTCCATGTGTGGTCCCTGCAGTGAAAGCAGACGAGATCCCGGGCGAGGTGACCCATGAGATCGTGAACACCGAGCCCCCCTACGTGATGATCAAATGGGAACCGCCCCGCTCCCCAAACGGCCTCATCATCCTGTACGAGGTGTTCTACAGGAAGGTCGGGGAATCGGAGGTCAGTATCAAACATCTCCACGCGTTTAGGGAGGAGGAGGAGGAGGAGGAGGCGGGAACAAGTCCATTTGGGGGGGGAGGAGGTTTCCTTTAGGGAAGGGCACAGGAAACAGAAATGATTTGTAGGAAGGAGAAGCACAAAGAGCAGACAGGTGCATTAGAAACATGGATGCAGGTAAGAAGAGAGACAGGCAGGAAAAACATCTTCAAATTCTGTCTGGTTCTTATACATCCTCCTGGGAACCGAATAAAATATGGTCTTCGAATTTCCTTTTTTTGTGATTTCCTACCTATTTAGGGTTCAAAAAAACATCTTGCAATTTAGACCTTTTTTTAAATGTACAGTATGTCCACTCTAAAGGACCTGAAGACTGTTTTAGTGTGAAAAGACAGCCAGGATGTAATGATAAACTACGTAACATATTATGCTTATCGAGTGATTTTAATTAAAAAAAATTAATTCACCTTTAATTAAAGATTAAACAAGTAATTGATCCGAACATTGCTGTATATTCGACCACTAAAAAAAAGAACTTTGGTTATTGGTGAACACTGCCAAATCTTCAAAGCTTTTTATTGACAATGTACGGGGAAAAGTACTGGAGTAAAAGTAAAAAAGAGGAATAAATTACATATTTGTCAAAAAACTCCCAACGTTAGCTAGTTTCTCTGCTGTCATGTCGTTCCTCCTGTGTGAGCAGTGCTCGTGTGTGTGATTCTGTGAGTGTGTGTGTGTGTTGTTGTTGTTGTTGTTTGCCCTGCAAATGTGAGATCTGGTTTCTCATTGCTATTCCTCGATGCACCGCCTGACCCCAGGAGCCGGCTCTGTTACCATAGCGACAGAGGCAGGCAGGAAGACTGGGATGCAGCAGCAGGGACATCTGCACCGAAAAGAAAAACAGATTTATTTAAAGAGACATTGATCACATGACAGAAGTTCAAATATAATTTATGGTTTATTGCAAAGAGGCAAGATTAACACATGTTGTATATTAACTTTCAATTGACTATTGATTACATGTTAAACTAATTCTTATGCAGTGTGTGTGTTGTCTCCTGCTCAGGTGTGTGTGTTGTCTCCTGCTCAGGTGTGTGTGTTGTCTCCTGCTCAGGTGTGTGTGTTGTCTCCTGCTCAGGTGTGTGTGTTGTCTCCTGCTCAGGTGTGTGTGTGTTGTCTCCTGCTCAGGTGTGTGTGTTGTCTCCTGCTCAGGTGTGTGTGTTGTCTCCTGCTCAGGTGTGTGTGTTGTCTCCTGCTCAGGTGTGTGTGTTGTCTCCTGCTCAGGTGTGTNCTGAGCCGGCCCGGCTAAAATAACTGGATGGCCTACCTGCCTGTCAGCCTTCCATCTGTGCACAAACTTATCTCGTGCCCTCATTAGTCATGTGCGCGTTCGTGTGTGTTGGAGGAGGGGCTCTGTAAGGAAGTGGCAGATTTTCTCCGGTTGTGTATTTTCAAATTCTAGCGCACTCGAGCTGGTTTCTCCAAAATTACCTACCCCACCTTTAAGACGTTGGTAGGCTAATGAAGGGGATTAGGCTACATGTGAATTTCTTTTTGAGAACAAAAAAAAAGTCAGAACTCTGAAAATAAAGAATCAGAAAATCAGAGACTGAAGTGAGGATTCGGAGATAAACAAAAAAAAGGTAGCATTTAGAGTTCTAAGAAAATAAATGTGAACTCCGGGGAAATAAGTCAGAATCAGACATTTTGAGAAAAAAAAGACAGAATTCTGAACTTATTCCTAGAACAAAAAAACGTTGGTCATATCCCCCCAGAAAATGTTTTCCTTATCTTCTTCCCAACATTGGAAAAAGGGAATGATTTGTATTTGAATGTAGATTCCCCAGCTGATCGTGCCTGCTTTGATTCTCAAGTTGGATCGAAACTACTTGTGAAAGATGTTTAAAACAACAACCTGAAAATTATTTAAAAAGCGTGGAACAGACAAATACATATATTAAGTCAAACGTGGCATTCATAACAAGTGTCAAAAATCAAGGCAAAAACAATGCATTATAAAAATAACTTAAATAAATAACATTACATAATAAACACACACATGCCACCAGGGCCTGCTTCACCTGTAAGCCGTTAACTTGCACACTTCACATTCCTCAATTCTTTCTTGATCAACAATTCATTCATGAGGCCGACATTTAAATACAGTTACAAACACAACGTTCCCTTTTTAAGTCTGGAGGAATGGGATACCACGGTGTACAGGCGATAAAAAAAGAGATTGAATTATACCGACAAGAAACACGATGCGTTTTCTGACAAATGAAAAGAAAGAATCAGAGACCTAATTCCTCCTGAAGTTGGAAAAAGACATACATTCATGACGCTTTCCGAAAGTGCACTTCTTTAAATGCACAATCTTCAACTCAAAGCATGACGTTTAATAAAAGTTATCTAAAGCTTTGTGAAACTGTCCTGCTATAAAGCCATACATCAGGTTATTCCCAAAGAAAATCATTTACATTACTCATTTTTTTTAGACGCCACATTTGAGGATTCGTATCAAAAATGGCAAAACAACAAAAGTCGCAAAGGGTAAATATTCACATTTAGGTAGTTAGTGGCCATATGTGTTAAAGGAGGAAAGTGAGTCTTCTTCCTTTAAGCACGGATTAAAGCTAGAACAGATTCATTTAGTCAGTATTCATTCACCCACACCAGTAAGAAGGGACAGGCATGTCTTTCATTTTTCCAACCCAGTTAAAGATTAAACCACGGCTACTTCCACACACACAACGCAGACGTTTCGACAGAGCATCCTTTTCTGTGATTTAGGAAAATACCACTTTTAAAATATGAACGACGATCACAGTTATGAAGATATGAGGTGGTACGGATGAATATAGAAAATTTAATTACATGTCACTTGTTAGACGCTTTTACCCAAAGCGACTTACATTCACTCAAATCCCCACAGGAGCAATTTGGGGTGAAGTGTCTTGTCCAAGGACACAACGACATGATGACTGCAGTGGGGATTGAAACTCCCCTGATCCTTGAAAAATACTAGTAGTCTCCTACATCCTCAGTAAGAGAAGGTATTAGGTTACCGGTTTGTTTGTAACATTAGCTAGACCTGCTGTTTTGGGACCGTTCTGTAAATGGGGATAGCTGCTATAGCTATAGCGCTAGTTAACTAATTATTTGCGGTCGGATAAATTCTAAATTTAGCGACGGACTGCAGCTAAGCAGACTCACAGTCGTTAGCAGCTTTAGCATCCCCCTATGCAGTCAGTGCAAATCATGCTGCAAAACATCACAGCGATCTTGGAAAAGCCTAGTAGATATAGTCAAATATACTGTACTTATGTTGTTAGATAAAGTGTTGTTATACTCGTTTATTCTTCTTAAATCCATGGTGAATTAATATTAAAAAGCTCAACTAACATCACCTCGGATCAGCCTAGCTTTGGTCATATTTAAAAAGCACTATTTTCATCTACTTATAAAAAGATGCTCCATGTCAGATTCATGATTATCCGGATTAAAACATTCAAGGAGAGCTCTGACGCAGCTACCATGCTGTACTTATCTGCTTTGTTTTTTACTTATTGTGTTTTTTTATTATTAATAAGTGGGACCCACTCTTTTATTCAAGATGTAAGTCTATTCTCTATCAGCACCATCATTCTGCTGATTTAACAATGCAAATGTTTCTGTCGCGGGACAAATAAAGGGATTCTGACACTTTCGTTATGCATAAGTGGGCGTGGTTGTATTTAAACTGGGTTGTAAAAACGACAGCTGAAGCCGGGGCTGGTTCAGGACCAGTACCCGGGTCTGTATCGGTACGGAGAGTCTTTGGATCGTCCGGTCTCGGGTCTGCAGAGCGGCAGCGTCCCGTCGCGGCACTGCCCCTCGTCCAGCTTGTCCAGCAGGTTCTCCTTCCTGCGAGGCGCCTCCAGGGGGGTGGGCAGCACCACGGGGGGGTCCCGCCCAAACTCTACAGTGGGGGGAGTTTCTGTACTGGAGGTGTGGGCGGGGGACTCTCCGTTGCCCAGGTTTTGTCCGTTTCCTCGGGGCCGACCGTCCGCCCAGAACACGTCGCAGCGGATCCTCGGGGAGGGGCGGGGTCGCGCCACAAAGTCTAGAGTTTTCGGGCGTTCGGGGGCACAGCGGCGGCGGGGGGTCGGGGGGAAAACCAGATTTGGATCGGGGAGCCGGGGGACCTCAGGACAGTCTTCTTTAAAACCTCTGAAGATTCCTGAAATAGGAAAGAAAACTAGTTGAGAAGAACTACTTATTTAAACTAATAAATGGACCTAAAATATCAGTGAAAAATATGCTAAATATAGTAGCCTATGCTAACACACACCGCTTTAGATTACTGATGTCCTGGACTGATTTAAGAAAAACATTTTCAGAAGACGTTTAATGTAGATTTAAATAAAGATACGTTATCTGTGTACATCTACTTATAATGAGAGATCCCTCACCTGTGTTTTCTAAAGCGGTCTTCTCCAGCAGGGGCTCCAGGCTGTGGGGGGGGCAGCTCTTCTTGATGGCTCCGTCTGACGGCGTCCTCCTCAGACTGCGGGAAGCACTGGGGGCTGACGGGATGTGGGTGGGGGTCAGCGACTGGCGGGGGTGACGCTTGAAGCTCTCCAGGTGTGTGTTGACCAGCGGGTTGATGTGGGGCTGATGCCGATAATGGGGGGGATGTTTGAGGGGGGAGGAGGGGGGGCGGCAGGCCAGCTTCTCCTCGCTGTCGGTGCGCAGCAGCGAACGCGTGGAGTTACAGTCCGACACCGAGGATAACGACAGTAAGGTGTAAGAAGAGGGGATCGTGGGGGCCTTCAGAGGACTCTCTTTCCGGAAGAGTCTGTGAGTCTGGGGGCTGGTGCTCCTCCGATGCCCCCCCGCCCGGTGGAAAAATGCCTCCCAGCGGGACTTTACGTTTTCCTCAGGTTGGGACAAAGTGAGCATGTTGCAGCCGAGCCCCACGGCCGCCAGCAGAGCTCCACAGCCCAGCAGGACCAGGTCGGAGCGCCGCCCCCCCCCAGGGCTCCTCCTGCAAGGGGAGGCTCCGGGAGGGGGGGCGCTGGGGCAGGACTCCTCCCCCGTCTCCCCCCCCTCAGAGGCAGCGGGGAGACCCTCCTTCTGGACGGGGAGGCAGAGGTAGGACTGACCCGGAGCCGCCGCCGCTGCTGGATCAGTGGTGAAGCAGCTGTCTTCATTTTCTAAACACAGGATCAAAAACAACATGTTAACATTTGTGATGATATTTTCCAACACTTAGCTAAAGCATGAAAAAAGCTGCTGTCTCAGAGAGCCGCTGTGACCCCCCCTCTGTATAATATGTGCCAAACAGGACATATACTCGTGTGGTAGTATTCATACTGCAGCAATATCTGTTCCTACAGTGGTGACCCACTCCACTATCTCACACTCTGCATAGGAGTGAGATAGTCAACACAATGCATTTCCTCCGGTTTCACCACATCTTTTATTTTATTATTATTATTTGTTTGAATATAAAGCGAGTGCAGGTGTGCATGTTACAGTGAGGGACTGATAATACATGTAGATTGTGCTGATTATTCTGCCTTCTCACTGCCATATAATCCGCGGTAAACATCCCCGCTGAATTACGAGAGGAAGTTTGGGTCAAACTTATTTCTTAACGCGTGTTATGATTTGCTGTAGGCCTGTATCGAACACGCTTAGTGCAGCTGCAACATTAAAATAGATGCAAAACAATCTACAGCTTTCCTCATTTTTTATTCTTAGTGCAATTAAGAATTTAAATGTCAACCCATTTCACTTCCAGCTGTTCTTTTTCCTTGATTAATGTGCCTGACATTTGAGTTGCTTCATTAATTGATGCGTCTCTTATTTGTGTTTCATGATGCTGAGGATTTATTTTGAGTTGAATAGATGCAATAATTCATGTTGGAACTGGAAAAGCCTTGAACATCATTTAACAGCACTTCTCAAACATGAAGCGACACGAGGCAGCAATGTTAGTCAAACTCCATCCGTCCAGGAGGTTTTTATGTGTGTTTATGCTTTTTCAGGATCAGCCTGTTTACATTCAAATCTGATATTCTCTGGTCAACCTCAGACGGTTTGGGGGAGGATCTGTTTTTCCTCTCAATGTTTTAATCCATTCTGCATTTAGTCTACAGCTGTTCTACCACGTGTGCCCTCTGTATATCAGACTAAGAGGTGATACTGGGCCCTGCTCACCCATCTCCAGCAGGCTGGGGACCCCGGGCACGGCGGGGCTGTGTCGGGGGGATCGTCGCAGGTTTGGGGCGCTGCAGGACCGCTGCCTGCTGCCCTCGTGGGGGGGCTTCACACTGACATGGAGAGAGAGGGAGGGTTAGGTCAGATATAATGAACAACAGGCTCTAATTATATAATAAAAGACACGGTGACCTATCATATCCGATAACGTTACAGTTAGCAGACACTTCTATCCAAATCTACTTAAAATAAGAGCAACCATGAAGAAGCAAACTCAGCATCCATGAGGCTTCAAGAAAACCAATTTGAGGAATCTTGGAAAAAGTGGATTTGAAAAAAACTGTTGAAGGAAATAAAAATGCAGCAGTATGTTGTACACAAATAATAAGAGGTAGAAAACAAGGCATTTTAAAGTTTTTAACATATTTCTTTATTGCTCAAAACACCAATAAATAAGTAAATTAATAAAAAGTCATGTTAAAGCAATAACATTTTGAGAATATTATGATTTATGAATATGAAACTAAAAAGGAAAAAAGGACAAAACATAAAAAAGAGAATGTTTTTTTACTCATAGTGCATAATAAAAATACTCTCATTATTAAAATAATGTTCTAATTGATATATTAAAACATCCTCTTTGAGCTATTACAGCTTCGTGTTAACAAAATGAACAGGATGATGATTTAAACTAATAGATCTGAAAACATTTCACAGACCACCTGCAGAGACCCCTCTCTAAATAAAGAAAATCGTTCTTCCTCCGTCCGCTCACCTGGCGTCGGCGCTGTGCTCCCGGTAGGGGCCACAGTTATGGGACCGGCCCTTCTTCCTGGAGCCCTTTCTCTCCCCCTCCTCTTCCTCCAGCTGGACCGCTGCACTGCGACCCCAGGCCGAGTACCCCTCCCGAGGAGTCACTGAAACACAACACACTTAAAAACCATGCATTATGAAACTGAATTTAGACAAATATTCCCCTGGCAAAAATGATCCATTTAAAGGTCCCCTATTATACTGTTTTTCATCAATATATTATAGGTCTCAGATATATACAGAGCCTGTCTCTGATTGGCTGAAACACCAAACAGATCATTGCAGCATTACCCATAATCCCCTCTGTTTCAGCCCTGTTTCAATAGTGCTGATTCTCTGTCTGTTACTTTAGATGAAAATAAGGAGCCACTCCTCACGCCCCTCTGAGAGAGATTTGGTTAAAAAGAACACAATAGCCGCTTTCACACCAAGTACTTTGCCGTACTTAGTGCCGGCACTTAGTGCCCGGGGACTTAGTACCCCGGCACTTAGTACCCCAGGGCACCAAGTACCAAACGCGTTCACACCGGAATAAGTTCCTGAGGGAAGATTATGCAAATGAGCCGCTGACGTCACTTCTTCTTCTGCTGCTTTGGGTTTACTGGCAGGCCGCAAACAACTTCCCGGCGTATACTGCCACCCGGAGTCCCCGGCNTGTGTGTTGTCTCCTGCTCAGGTGTGTGTGTTGTCTCCTGCTCAGGTGTGTGTGGTTTCTCCTGCTCAGGTGTGTGTGTTTGTTTTGTCTCCTCAGGACCACACAGGCTGTGTGTCTCGCCCGGCCTACCTGAAGTCCGGCGGGACGAAGCTGTCTCTGGTTCAGCCGGGGAACTACAGCGTGAGGGTCCGCGCCACCTCGCTGGCAGGGAACGGGTCCTTCACTAAGACCACCTACTTCTTCATGCCCAACCGTAAGACCCCCGGATGAACAAACCGAGACCTACTTTAGAATGACAGATTATTACTCTTAAATTGAGACCTGACTTTTATACCTGTTTGTTTTCCCAGCGGATCAAGGTCTGATCTGGATCGTGATGGGTCCGGTGATCTGCTTCATCCTGCTGCTGTTTGTGGGAGGGGGAGTCTTAGTGATCTTTAAGAAGAGGTAGGATCTTACATCAGCACAAACAATTTAATTAATATCACAATAAATGTACATTTTAAAACGTCATATTTCTTTTTTTTAATGGTTTTATACAAAGAAATGTAAATACTTTTTAAAAATTATTATTGTGTTCGAGCTGGTATTGTTGTGTCATCATTCTTTATGTGTATCTTTTGCCTCTTCTAAGTTTAAATATATTTATTTTACAATCAAGATGATCCACATATATCGTGAGCTGATTACTCTATATCAGATGAAAGAGGGAATGCTGCTCATTTCCTTTCAAAAACATCAGTTATATTTTGAAGAATAGGGTTTAACTTTGAATACTTTGAGCCAAGGATCTATCAGGAGTGTATGACGGGACAAATAAAGAAACCCATTCTGGAGAAAGTTCACATTTTAATAAAGTTGTCAGAGTCTCAAGATGGTTTCTGTGGTTGTGTTTCAGACAAACCGAAGGACCGACCGGACCTCTGATCGCCTCGTCAAACCCCGAGTACATCAGCACCACCGACGGTGAGAAAAGCAATGAAATTCAAGACGTGCAACATCTTTTTATGTATTTCAAAAGATAAGTTATTATTATTTTAGATTAGATAAGATTGGATGTATTTATCCCAAATTGGGGATTTCTTTTTTACTCAGCAGCATGTTGATAAGGCATTGCACAGGAGGTAAAAATGCAAGAAATACAATTAAAATAAAATAAAAATCAGTTTTGAAGGAATGCACTATATTTCAATCAGGAGAAACGTTTTGATGTAAGTATACATATTTATTGCAGAGATACACAAATGAATGTAACGGTGATTTTGGCGATTAGGAC